CTTATCCACATATTTTATACCTCTTTCCATTATCAGTTTTTATATCATAGAGACATAGTTGCAGTTTGTTATATCATATATCACTAATAGTACTGATCTATAATTATTGTTGCATGATTTATAGATTTATTAATCTCATATATCTTTCTAAAAGCACTATTCTCTTCATTGCAAGCAATCTGGTCAGAGATTCTCATATAGGAATATATATATATGAAAAAATATATGTGTATATATTTTAAAGGCATACTTTTACAGCATAAGAAATATGGTTAATAATATTGTAACTATGGCCAAAACCGGTTTGGCTCAGTGGATAGAGCGTCGGCCTGCGGACTGAAAGGTCCCAGGTTCGATTCCAGTCAACCGCATGTACCTGTGTTGCGGGCACATCCCCAGTAGGAGATGTGCAGGAGGCAGCTGATCTATGTCTCTCTCTCATCGATGTTTCTAACTCTCTATCTTTCTCCCTTCCTCTCTGTAAAAAATCAATAAACTATATTTTTTAAAAAAATATAAATGACATATAAGATTGCATATTATTGAGAAATGAATGACAGCAATATATAATATTTGTATGTAATGAATAGAACAGTGCATTCAGTCATAAGTATAATACTGTAAGTTAATAAGATGTATATGTTCATGGAAAAAAGGATAGGAAGAAGTTACACCAACATCTCCAGGTGGAGAGAATACAGATTATTTTTACTTTCCTAATTTTGCTTGTATGTACTGTCTAAATATCTTCCACAGGCATGTGCAACATTTATAATATAATAAGCCGTCACTCTGAGGATGCTTCTGGTCTTCTGTAGTTGTGCCTTTTCTGATCACTAACATAAAAAAATGGTTCACATAATCCTAAAATCCAGTATTCCATAGGATTCTTTATTTTGGATCATCACAAACACCACAAAGAATCTTCAGAGGATTAATTTGAAAACATTAAAAAAAAAACTATGTACACTTTACACAGTATTGAAATAGATGTACCATGAAAGACACATGAAACATTTTCATATCTGTCTCCAGCTTATCCTCACTGACTCACTGACTGATTATGATGATACACCGCCTTGTGCTGCAGCTTTGTTTATCCTGGAACTTGTATCTTTAATATATGCCCTCTCTCTAAATTTCTTTTCTAAGTTCCCTGCTTATCACATAGAAACCAAGAGGGTCCTTGGATGTTGCTAATGCCAAGTATTAATGTAGTATGTAATAAATAAGCTCTTTTCTAGGGAAGGGCTCATTTCCTTGTAAATTACTTGGCATATTCATTCTGCTGGCATTTCAAGTTAATAGAAATGGCTGAGATACCACAGATCTCTTTTTCTAGAACATGCATGCTTCCATCAATTAGAATTATTTGTTGGCACCTTCACATCATATGCAGCATTATGACAGTCTCTGTCTTTTGACAGCAGCAGCTTAAGTATTTATCTACTCCATGCTTAATATTGTTTGGACTACCGAAGCATCGCATGGCAGGATAAAAGAAAATAAAGCTGTTTTTGTGGAATAGGGAGCTCACTGCCTTTTAGCTTTCTCTTTCACAGAACACTTCTCAACAACAAAAAAGCCTTACTAGTTCTTTTTATTTACTCATTTTTTAAGTTGATAGGGGTTTACAGAAAAATTTGAACTAGACGATGGAGTTGCTCTGAAATGTATTCTAAGGACAAAAGACAGCATTGGATCCTTCAAACCTATTTTTCAATGTAGCCTATTTTTTGGTAGCTGGGCTATAGAGGATTTGCCCTTGCAAAACTGTGTATTTCAATTTTACAATTTTTGTATAAACTTGATATTATTTTTCTAGAGATTTTGTAACTAAGTATGAATGGAGTAACATAAATTTGTTTCAGGGGAACCTAATTCTGCTTGGCTAAAAATTTAATTAAAAAAATTTTTTTTGTGCCAATGAACTTATCTAAAGATTAGTGCTATCTGACCAACATATCTAGTTCTGTGAAGAAGTATAATTGGCTGCGAAGTGATCAGTGATGTTGGGTTACCCTTGCAGGAAGATGTGCAACTAACTGTGTGTCTATACTAGTACGATGACCCAAATAGATTTTTTTTTCCCTGTGGTGTAACTTACAGATTGCATATCTGTGGATTCACTTGGACACTCGGTGGGTTGACAATGATCGCTATGTGAGAGATGCTGTTGTGGGAATGGGTGAGGTGACCTGGGTCATATGTCCTTAAAAAGGCCAACTTCTAAACAAACCTTAGGATCGAGAGGTCCATTTTCTACTGCTGTGATGCCAATGTGTATCAGGGGTTAAGGAAATCTTCCAACATTCTAAAGTCAGATTGATCTTTGTCTTTTAAATGTCTCCCAGGGTTTCCAAGTTTTGAGGAGGGAGCTAAAGGGCAACAACATATATTTTCATGAGAGAGAGTGAATGGGACTGATTGCTAGCACACCACAGGCAGAACAAAGGTGACAATGAAAGTGAGTCAGAGGTACATCCCATTTCATGTGTCTATCTGCAGAATAACACTGACTCGCTCAGTCCATAACTCAGACTTCCCCACATTTACTTTATTTACAATCTTATTGCTAAGGAAAGTGTATACATAAATGAATACACATATATTTTTAATTTTCAATAAGAGAACTCCTGGTTGGAAAATGATTAATGTGCACACTAGTGTGTGAACAAATGGAGTAGATTCAAATGTACCACACGCTGAATAAGTGATATCTAAAGCATGTAAACTCCCTACGTCTTTCTTACCCTACAATGTGCCCATAAATTTAAGGAGTTGCTATATCTGAAATCAGATAGTCTTCTCCAAAAGGTTCTGAGTGTCTATGTGTATTTGTATATGTGTGTGTACTTAATTTCATGATATTGAGAAATTACTAAATAAAGTCCAGTAAAATGTAAGAAAACTCATTCTAAAATGGAGATATTGTTTAGAGAAGTTAATGTGCTTAAGCTAAATAGCATAGTATATATGCATGAATTTGTGTTGTGAATTGATAAGTCTATATCAATATTTCACTTTTAAGGATATCAAAATTTTATTATGCACAGAACCCTACATTTAGATAAATAAAATGCTGTTTAAAAATATACTTTGAGCAGGATAGCTATTTGTTTATATGCCAAGTAAAGTATTGTGACAGTGACATATAAAGACTGAAATTCAGTAACATCACCACCTCACTCTCATTATATAGTAACGAACCTTGTACATGAGTATTTACCAGCCTGCTGCAAATAATTGTTTATATATTTCTTTGTATGCATTGGTCACTACCCAATTATTTGAACATTACTACTCGATAAAAATAATATTATTGCCTCCAAAACTTCAGTTTTATTCATCTCACTTTCAGACAAACATTTTGTTACTAGCTCATTTACTCTATTACACCTATTTTTTCCTTATTTCCACATCTCCTTCTGTATTTGCTTCTCTTCATAGCAAACTTTATTCAAAGCATTGAATAGACACTTTTGCATGGCACAGTTTTTCCTCAGACCACTCCAATGTAGCAACAGTCATTACAATGGCTTATAGGGTTGCTGTGAATATTAAATGTCAATCCACTAAACTAAGATACTTAGAGATGAGTTTGGCCGATAGTGAGGTCTCATTAAATGTTAGCAATCATAATTATCATTATGTAATTAGTATCACTAGTTTACTTACCAAGACTATTTTGTGAGTAAAGATCTTCATGCTGGCTTGGATTCATTAATGAATGAAGACCATGTTTTATTTATGTTGATAGCTCCGGTACTGAGCAGGTTCCCTGGAAGATAGTATAAACTCAATACTATTATGAAAGTAGTTTCTCAAATCTTCATTTGTATATTAGCACATGATGGTTGTTCATTTATTAAACATTATATTGTTTCCATAAAATGTGGTTATTTAAATCAGTCCTAGGTATAGAGCTTTATAAGATCACAAAGAACACTTCTGTGATTGAATCCATTCATAAAATGTAAAGAAATTCATTTGAGTGGGAAATCTTTAGTAGCAATTCAGATGGTCTTCAAAGATATACAATTCTAGAGATATGCTTAACTCTAGCATCCTGTAAACAGACTTACTGAGTATTTTCTATAAGTCAAATACTGTGGCAAGTATTCATAGGAATATTATTGGTGAGAAAGCCAAGAACTGTAGGAGTGTAAAAGTATTCCAGCCATTTTAATAAGCTTTATCAGTTGCCAAAACTGAGGGGAGAGAGGCAGTCACTTTCCAATAAGTGACAATAGTGACGAATGGGAGCTAAACCACAAACTTCATGGTTATGACTGTGACTGCTGAAGGTAATGCCTGCTAAGCAGTTAATATTACAGACACCAGAGCAGGCTAAGTGCAGATTGCAATTGCAATAGGCATATGGTAGACATTAGCTCATTAAAATATTCAGACTAGCAGATGCACAGGTTTAAGTATGCCAGGGAAAATATTAATTTTTAGAATTTAAAACTGCTACGACTTTGGAAGTTTCCAAGCTCTTGGTTTTCATAGTGCTCGGGTGGGCAAATCGGAGGTATTTCATTGGTTGTGTGTTCAGGCCCTGATTACAGCTGAAAGGCGCTCAAACTGCTACTAAGGCAAACCCGCGGAGAGAAGAATGAGGAGAGAAACAGGCCGCAACATCCCTGTAATCACACTTTAAGCTAAGTCACTGACATGAAGACTTCACTGCAAGGTCTAAAGGTAGAAGACATTTCACATGAAAGATTTATACAAAAGTTTTAAAATAGGAAACAGATATATCTTGTTAAAGAACAAAATCAAATCAAGTAAATTCGAAGATCAAATTGCTTTAGTGAGCGATTTGTGAATCTGGCAGCATCCCATCTAACAATTTCAAGGTTGATCCCAGGTGTTGTACAAAATGGAAGGTTTTTATAAGAAGAAGGTTTTTATAGGGACAAGGCAGCTACTGACAAAAGGAAAGACAGGATTCTTTTTAGACCAGGACATCTTTGGACGGAAGGGAACAGCAAGAGGTTGTTTGGGTTTTTATTTATTATTATTATTATTATTATTATTATTTTTAATCATGCAGACTACCTCTTCTTTCTATGGGTTTTGTGCGGTGGTTGGAGAGGGCAGGCCCACAGGAAAGAGCGGCTCATTGGTGTTGACCAGAAAAATCTGAACTGGAGAAGATGAAATAGCATTCAGGTCAGGTATTGCATCTAGTTTTGTCATCATGAGCTTTAGCACAGGTGACGTCATTTTTAGGGTCTATAGTTTTCTGTTTAACAATCGAAAGCTATCATTTGACTCTGTCTTGAAAGGGGATGACAAAATCTTATAAATTCCACAACCTATGATTGGGACACTTTCTTCTTAGGAAAATAAAGCTCAAAGAGACCTGGCAAGTTCCTTAAAGCTTTACTCAAACAAAGCCTTCACATAGAAAAAAGGGGTCAGTTTTACGTCACTTTTTCAAAATTTAAAATGCAACAATTTCTCCCCTTTCCTCTGTGAGTTAAATAGACAAGAAAAAAGAAAGACGGAAAGATTGAAAAAGAAAGTAAGGAAAAAAAAAAACAAAGGAAGAAAAGAGCATTTGCTTTTGCACTGGAGGAAAAGGAAAGAGCAGTCATTTGAATATATTTTATTTATAAAAAGGATATTTATATATTAGTGTACTTACTCAATTACTGTACTAAGTGTTATGAAAATGGTGACTAGTCAAAGGGATTAAGACCTAATGAGGACTGAACACGTGTGTAACTTCCACACTTTTACCAAATATATTGTATGTATGCATAGATATCTATATGGGATTGGGTGAATATTGGGTGTCATTTTTTGAGAGAGAGAGAGAGAGAGAGAGAGAGCGAGCGCATAAGTCTAGAAAGAGTATTTTCTTCAATCAAGACACTGCAATTTTGAGGCATCCATCCCTGAAATCAAACAGCAGATGAAGCTAACTATTAGAAACAACTACAGTCCAAAAATGTGCCCTTGAGGGCACTCTGCCTTAAAGTATGTTTAAAGGGATGGATAAAATGGGACTAGGTATCTATTTGGGCCACAATGTAATGTAATGATACTGATACGGGATTTTTGGACTGGAACATGTGGTGTTCCCCTAGCCAGGATGGCTTCCCTGGGGTTTTTGTCTGTTGGAGCCAAAGAATGAAAGAAACCACGGACAGAAGATAGTGTAGCAAAGGTGGAAATTTATTGAAGAACAAGCGCCAAGTCCCACGTGGGGAGGGGAAAAAAGTCCCACCGAGTTCCTTCCCTCCCCCTTTTGGTTTATAAAGGCTGCAGTTTTTGTGCCTTGATATCCCCTCTGATTGGCCCCTATTCCCCTTTGATTTGGTCACTATAGCAACTCCTGAGCTCAAAATGTCAAACGTCACATGGGACTTGTGAGACCCTCCTCCCTTATTGTTTTCTTAATTTTCCTTCTTTGAATGAAGGGCTTCCTTCCTTTTATTTTGTAAATGTGTATATTTTGCTCCTTACAGCTCCCATGTCTTATGGAAATGTAACTTCTGCCTCCCCCAACTCCCTTGTCTTATGGAAATGTAACTTTTTACAGTTTTGTAGCCTGTGCTTTTTCCATGGACCTCATTAATTTTTAAAAATTCCCCTAAACCTGCCTATTTCACCCCTAAAAATTCCTATTTCAATACTGAAAGCTATATCAGTGTAAATTTTTTTAAAATATATTTTATTGATTTTTTTACAGATAGGAAGGAGAGAGACAGAGAGTTAGAAACATCGATGAGAGAGAAACATCGATCAGCTGCCTCCTGCACATCTCCTACTGGGGATGTGCCCGCAACCCAGGTACATGCCCTCGACCGGAATCGAACCCGGGACCTTTCAGTCTGCAGGCCGACGCTCTATCCACTGAGCCAAACCGGTTTTGGCATCAGTGTAAATTTTATTGTCTAAGCAAGATTTTGCATCTTGACATAAGATTGAATTGTTTGGAATACTACACTGCGGTAAAAAAGGAGGAGTTCTTACTATTTGCAACAGCATGGATGGAACTGGAGACCATTATGCTAAGTGAAATAAGCCAGTCAGAGAAAGACAAATACCACATGATCTCACTCATTTGTGGAATATAATGAATAACATAAACTGATGAACAAAAACAGATCCAGAGACAGAGAAGCATCGATCAGACTGTCAAACCTCAGAAAGGGGGAGAGATCAACCAAAGGACTTATAATATAGGCCTAATCAATGGACACAGACAACAGGGGGGTGAGGGCATGAATTGGGGGGGGATAGGGAGTAACGTGGGGATAAGGACACATATGTAATAACTTAATTAAAAATTTTTAAAAAAGATTGAATTGTTATTGTCTATCAAGGACAAATGAAATGCATCACAACTGAGGGTAAACACCAAGGTGGAGTCAGTATTTCATTGTTCCCAATGTTGGCTTGCTTAGCTGATATAATATGAGGCTAAACAGAGTAAATAATTTAAAGCACAAACCATACAAGTTGTTACTGCACGTATTAGGACTTATTGTTTTTAAAATATATTTTTATTGATTTCAGAATGGAAGGGAGAGGGAGAGACAGAAACATCAATGCTGAGAGAGAATCACTGATTGGCTGCCTCCTGCACAACCCACACTGGGGGTCAAGCCCACAGTCCAGGCATGTGCCCAGTGGGGAATCAAACCGCGACCTCCTGGTTCATAGGTGGGAGGATGCTCAACCACTGAGCAACATAGGCCTGGGCAATTGTTTGAATTGCTTAATTGCTTCAGAATTGGAAAGAGAGATTTGTTCTTAGTGACTATTAATGGAATTTGAGCCACTAGCCAGGGTTAAAAGTTACAGCATTGGTGGATATATAAAAGGCGCCATCCTCAATCACCTTGATTCTTGGTTCAGACTTTCTCCCCTCAAAATAGTGGATCCCCCCCCCATTTGCTTCTTTAATTACTGATATGATAGAGAAAAGACAAATAAACCTGATTTGTATTTTCTTGTAGATAACCAAGGTTTAGCTGTGTACATACTACATTTTTCCCCTTAGGGTTCAAATATTGTTACCAAAAAGCAAACAAAAACAGACAACCCTGGATCAGAGATGCTTTTGTCTCATCATATAACAGAGTAATTTGACCTCTAAAGAAGTTAATGCAAACACCAATATATCCACTATGGTAATTGAGAACCATTTTAATATATTACATCTCTGTAGCAGCATCTTAAGCTTCTTCCTTTAGTAATTTTCCTGCTTTGGCTTATAAACAGTGTTTAAAATCCTGCTATTTATATCCACATATTTGTGTGTTTCTGAGTTCTCAAAATATATAACGATGCCAAAACAAAGATATAAATTATCTCTGTAGACGAAAGGGGCCATATGCTAACCTGACTAGTTCAGGGAAGGCCTGCATAGCGGTTGTGCAAACTCAAAGACCTAAAATAACCACAAAAGATGGTCTGAAAATTAAATATTTAACTACAAACAGGTTACAGTGGGTAGTCATGTCCTAGGCCAGTATTTTCCCTGACAAAGATCAACTTAGATCTTTACTGAGCCCATTTGTCTTTTTGCATCTAAGATAACATCTGAAATGTCTGGGTAACTTGTAACTTCTTCCTTTCACAATTGGTTTTGGAAGCAGGTACAAGAAATGGCACCAGGACATTCCCTCATTGTTATTGTTATCAAGTTAATGGTCGACTGCTAACTATGTTAAACTATCCGGTGTCCATCTATGTAAAAGAAGCACATGTCCATCATTTCACTTTTTACCCTATCCCAGAGGTTTCCCTGCTTTGCTTTATCCCACCTCCGTAATGAAAGACCAATCAGAGCCGAACACCAGGATTACAGGCTTTATTAGGAGAAAAGACCTGCGGGGCTGTCTCCCAAGGGGAGAGCAGCAACCAGTGCAGAGGTGAGCACTCCTTTTGAGGGGAGGAATGGGAAGGAATGGGGGATTAGGGTACTCGGCAGGCGCTGATTGGTGGCTTAATGTATGGTCCATGTAAGGTACATAGTTGGGCACTCAGGTACAGGAATCAAAGGCTTAGGGCATTTGGCAGGTGCTGATTGGTGGTTCAATGTATAGTCCATATAAGGTACATGATTAGGCACTCAGGTATTTCCGGGCTGCAGGTTTCCTCATACTCTGCCCACCAGTTGGGGGAAGGGAGGATCTATCACTTATTCTATCACCAATGAATTTCATGTAACCCACTTAGGTATTTTCCTTTTGATGGTAATTTATTTTAAAAAAAGTATGAACTCCCCATTCTCTGGAGCATTACCTCAATTTGTTGAGGTTCTGCTTCCCTGCATATGTTGACAGTTTGGCTCAAATAAACTCACAAAAATTCTGTACAGGTTTCAGTGATTTTTTACGTTAACATCTGCATGTTGAATCTGATATAGAGTGTCAGCTCTGTTCAATTCAGCAAAATTTCCTAAAATTGTCAAGACTGTATACAATGTTCTGGTTACATTCACTGAGACAGGCAAGTCATTTTCCCTTGTTGGTAAATAATTTAAAGCATTACCTTGATTATCAGACAGCACATATATAATATAAATTCAGGGAAAGCTTGCATGGTTTTTTAAAAAGAAAATATGAGATGTGGCCAGCTAGTTTGTGTTCTCAGATTGTCTAGGGGTGTATTTTAGTTCTTTTCTGCCACTGGAGCATTTCTTTACAAAAATTTAAGTACTGTTTTAATTAAGATCAGGAGACACTTATCATAATGAATTTGGTGTAGTTATTTGTATTCAACTCACTTCAATTGATCATTTTCTTTGCTTTATTCAAACTTCTGGTGCCGTTGCCTTTCAGTGTTTGTGTTTCTCACGAGGGTGAAACTTAACTCACAAGTGATTTGTTGGTGGGTCAGTGAATCAAGGCCAGCCTTACTTCCTTTTTTAAATCACCTGGCATTTTCCAAGTTCTGTGGAGAGGCCCAGACATAGAAGGCCTGACTGCACTGCTGAATGGATAACAGTTTCTCTGGCTCTGGCATTCAATTTTGCTACCACGGTGGAATTTTTCCCAAACTGCCAGATGGTATTTGATTATATAGATCATAAAGGATAATTGGTAAGTAATCATGCACCTAATGCCTTTTTTACCCTTATTTTGCACGGGACAGAAAGATTGGTGCTTCCATCATAATGTACACATTAGAAGCACTAAGGCAGAGGAGATGGCCTTTTCCTGCTTTGAATTAGAATGAGGGATTCAGGGGAGACGCAGGAATGTTCTAAGACTTCATTCACGTTTTCTAAAGAGATTATTTTCCCACTGTTGAAGTGTTTCAAAGTCAACTGATACTCTGGATTGGCAAAAATAGAAGATTTAGAAGATGTGGGGGTAGCAAAGGCCTCATTCCTGTCTTTCTTATTTCCCTCAAAGCTCTGTTTGATACTCCAATCTTCCTCCAAACATCCAGGGGGTGGGCAGGCATATAAACAAGTAGGTTCAATAAACGACAGAAATTTGTCCAAGGCCCAGTGCACCTTATGGTAAGGTGGCCAATTCTACCTAGACCTGAGACTGAAACTGGGGGCCCTCATTTAATGTATAATTTTGATTTAATATGTACCCCAGCACCCTATTTAGTTTCTTCACAGACTGCCTATAAGCCTTAGCACTTATCCCCCTGACACAGCAAGAATCAATGACCATACATACCTTGACTAAGGTAAGGGCTCTATTAAGCTAAAGATAACTTCATAGCCTCGGTTGTGTTTCAGTTCCTCAGCCCTAAAGCAGAACGACCCCTGGCCACATTCTCATAAAACCAGCCTGAAAAATGGCCAAAGCTGATCTCAAGACCTGAAACAATGAATCACTGCTCTTATCTCACTCTTGACCAACCAACAAGACCCATGACCCCAGACTCCGTATTTAGGATGACTCTTGATTTATACTCTATAAAGCCTGTTGTGTGCAAGCCATTGGGGAGCAGGGTTTTTGGAGAACCAGATGCCTGTCCTCCAGATTGGAAACAATCCTAATAAACTAATTTTTTCTCCACTGCAAACTCTTGCTCATACATGTCTTTTTGTTTGTGCACACAGGTGGACAAACTCTTGTTTAGCTCTGTAAGAAGGCCAGAAATGACTTTACTAGAATGTACAGTGGTTTTGATGCCATTGTAATTGACCCAACTATTAACTAACAGAAAAGGAGCAAAGGGAAGGCCAGATAATACAGGCATACCATTTGTACAGTGCCAGAAGGCTGCAGTTTAACGCTCTCCAGGTCTGTTCCCTGCAGATCCTGGGGTGATGGACTGGACAGAGAAAAAATACACACATGCTCAACAACGTATAAACAATGCAGAAAAGGTGACTACCTGTCAGTCACACCTGGGAGCAAGTCATTATTCCGGATAAGCATGGCCACTGCAAAAGTGTGAAATCTAACATCCATAAGCTCCTGGACAAAGGTAGTTCTCCCTGTAGGCCCTCCAGCACTCTGGGGACTCTTGTTGTAAGGGGTGTGCTCTTATGCTCTGCCCTCGCCCACATGGTCCACCGCCATGTGGACCCTCCACACAATGGACTCATGGACTGTGACTAGCCTGATGCTATGCTGGACTTAACGCACCATGGAACAGGAACCCTGGACACCAGCTTTGCTTTTAGCTCTGCTGAATTCCCAACTGTACCTTTTCCAGGACGGGACTAAGGGAAATGGGACTCTAAAAACTGAGGGATAGATATAACTTCATGCAAATAAAAATCACTCATTCTCCCAGAGGAGTCTTAGAAAATTATTTTTCTCAAGATATTGTAAGAATCCGACCCCCAGCACCCAGTGGGAAAGGGAACCCCCCACTTCCACAGATAACAGTTCCATCCAATACAACTTTCTGCAGTGATGGAAGGATTCTTTATCTGCATTGTCCAGTAAGGTAGCTGCATGTGACCATGGAGCATTTGAAATATACTAGCATGCCAGAAAAAATGAATTTTAAATTTAATTTGATTTTAATTAAGTTAAACTATATATGGCTAGTGCCTACCATCTTGGGTAGTGTAGGGATGGAAGATTCTACATGAATTGAGTTCTTTATTCTTCTTACACTTTTATTTTGTAAATATGTGTCTGAGGCTTGGGTGGAGTTCTCAAACAAAAGGAAAAGTTCTCTGTCATTTAAAAGCCTGTCCTCTGTTTTATTTGAAGAAGAAACAGGTTGACAACTAACATTTATGTTGAATCTCACTCTTCTAAATCACTTCACTTAAAGTGGCTCAATTTCCAGACACCTGAATTTGTTTACTCTGTTTAGTTTAGCGAGGCCAATGGATGAGGAATAATTTTAGGATACATTATTTTCCACAGCACCACCCCTTATAAGTTTCTTTGGGGAAACAAATACAATGAAGGTTTAGATAATTGGAGATGGTTATAACCTAAAGAGATAAAAGTTCATAAACACTGAAAATTGGATAATACATATGACTCTTCTTATAATCCAATATCAAAAGTCATTCTATTTTGTTAATGCTTATAAAATTAAAAACAGTTTCTCTAGGTTTATTGGACTTTTGTATCCTCCTTTTGTGACAACTTTCTAAAGTTTTTGTTTTAATAAACATTATTAAATTGTAAGAACTTTAAAATCGTAAGACATATAATCCTTTATCATATATATTGCAAGTATGTTTACAGATTTGGCTTACATTTTGTCAATAGAGCATTTTTGGTGATAAAACACTTTAAAATGT